TTAATATACATGCGTAACTAATGGTATTGAATATAGTTTGAGATCATAAGAAATATATGTTTTATTATTTTTTCTCCATTATTTAAGAGTGAAATTGTTGCCGATGAATTCTCGATCAATTGATCAGCTAATTGGCAAGCCAATTGTAGGTTGTGATCGGGGAATTATGTGCAGAAGTCTAATGCTTGCATTATGGTGTTTTGTATTAGCTTCTTTGATGTTGTAGTAATTGGAAGGAGACTATTGCGTTATTATGTAAAAATTGATTTGGGTGGAAAATTGATCGTTTACCCTAAATATACCAAGAAATAGTTCAATTCAATTGTTATTTGTGGGAGTTATAATCTTTCCTATATACAAAGAATCAGAGAATTATAGCTATTATTCATTGTTTCGTATTTGTTCTTATGTTTTTGATTTGCTTAGGCTTAAAAAAAAAGTCCTTAGTAAACTGTCTAGCATATGTATAAGAAGTCAATCTAAGCAGTTTCTGATATGAGTTTTCACTCTAAGCAGTTTGGATATGAGTTTTGTCGTCTAGAAAACTTAGGTTGTTCATTCTTCTAATAAGTGCTGATCTCTCAATAACTCGTGAATTTGGCACGGTTTATTGCTAACAAACACATACCATATACCATATATCCCCCTTGACCCCTTTTTAGTAATTCTCTCTGTCTCTGTCTCTCATCTCCTCTCTTTTTCTCAATTGGATGCTTTGTTATTTTGCCTCAATGAAATAACAAAGTGTTTTGAAATATCAAGGCCATTTTTTGAGAAAGTGGTTAGCTCTTCCAGAATGCTGATTGGGAATGGCAAGAATTGCGATTTTTGGTGTGACAATTGGTTTGAAAATGGTGTCTTGTTGAGTAAGATTGGGGTCTTGCCTTTGGTTTTTCCGAAAGTGTATGATTTGAGAGTAAATTCTCAGTGGCAGTTGGGTGCTTCTGGGGAACTGTTGAGTGAGCAGTTGAGGATTGATGTGCTGAATACTGGTATTTCTTTGTCAGACCTGGGGACAAGTTGGTCTGGCAAAAAACTAGTTCTGGAGTTTTTACTATTAAGACGGCATGGCATTTGATTAGGAGCAGGGGTGAGGAGAATGAGTTGGCTGGATTAATTTGGAACACTGTTACTGCTCCAAGTGCCCAATTAATTGGATGAAAATTATTGTATAAAGCATTGCCTGTGGATTCAAATTATAGGAGGGTAGGGGTTTCTTTGGTCAGCAGGTGTTGTTTGTGTTTTCAGAATGAGGAGTTTGTGGAGCACATGTTCATGGAGTGTGATTATGCTAAGGCTATATGGGGGAAGTTTTCTGTGGCAGGTGGTTTTCAGCTACTGTTGGGCGAAAGTCCTTTGGTGAGATTTGGAAGGTTGTGTAGGGTTTTCAAGAGGCGTTCTTTGAGCCACTGCTTGATTAGGAGTTTGCCTTTAATTTTTTGGCAAATTTGGAAATAGAGATGTAGAAGAATTTTTGGGAAGGTAATTTGCATTCCTATTCCATTTTTTTGAAGATCTGTAGCATCGTAAGGTACCAGGTTAAGAACGTGAGGCCAAAGGTACAGGATGATTCTTTTGGGAAGCATTTTTTGTTGTTTCTAAGAATTGAAACTTCTTGTCGAGTGTTGACTAGAGTGTGTTGGATTAAGTGGTGAATGCCTTCTACTGGTTCATTAAAGTTGAATACTGATGGTGCTTCTAGGAATAATCCTGGAATTGCAGGTGGGGGGGGGGGGGGTGAATGTTCAAAGTGGCTGAGTTCAGAGCTCTCCTGGATGGTTTTGTCATTGGTTAAGAGATATGGTCTGTTTGTATATAAATTGGAGATTGGGTGTGATTCTCTGGTCCTGGTCAATGCAATTATGGGAAGGTGCGACTGCCCATGGTCTTCTTTATATCTTCTGAATGAGATTAAAGAATTGCTGAAGTGTGTGGATTTTGAATTGAGGCATATTTTTAGAGAGGTGAATTTTGTTGCTGATAGGCTTGCTAGTCAAGCTGTGCAGGGCAGGAGGTCTATTGATTATTCAGAGGGTTTGCAGTTGCCAGTTGAGGTGAAGTTGGCTTTGAATAGAGATGTGGTTGGTTTGCCATTGCTGAGGAAGAAAAGGGTGGTTGTGTTTGACGACATGGGCTAACTGGCTTTTTATTTTGTAGTGAGCCTCGGCTGCTGTTTGCTGAGCTTTGCTGTGATCTGGGATGGTTTTGACTGTGACTGTAGTGTTGATTTGTTGAAACAGGGAAGCATGGAAGGTTGTTTGGGGAGGCATAAAAGTATGGAAGTTGCTGTGTAGTTTTGCTTCATTTGTTTTAAGTTTATTGTTTTCTTGGTATGGAGATTGGTCTGTCTTTCTCTTTTGCTTCTTGTAATTCAGACTTGTTCATAAATAAATTTTTTTTTCTATTAAAAAAAATGTTCTTGAGATCTAAAATATTAATTTAATCTGTTAAAATAATGATATGTCAAGTAATAGAATTTTAATAAAAAAATTTAATAATTAAAGCCAAAACAATGCAATTGAACGATATCACTGTCACATAATTAGGTTATTAAGTTAAAATTTTATATTTTAATAATATTACTCATACTGAAAATAGTCGCTTCTTGCAGAATTTTATAAACTAAACTCTTGGCACTATATCTATTGCATATCACTTATAAAATATTATCCATTCTCAATTAATTTTGTCACTTGTGAAATTATGAAATTTTTTTAATAAAACATAATAATTAAGCTAAAAAATATTATATTTATAATAATCATCCAAAGATTCAAAACCTCTTTGTGATCCAACCACATCTTCAAAGGGCTTTTAATAAAAAAAACTTAAAAATTAAAAGGCACACCAAAAATCATCAAGGGCCTTGCCCAGGTCTCTCTCTCTCTCTCTCTCTCTCTCTCTCTCTCTCTCTCTCTTACAAGGGCACAATGTCTTTGAGTTCCAATATAATATAATCAGCTAGTTTTCTGACCCCGAATCCTGGTTTCTTTGAGTGTTGGTACATAAAATCAGACCATGTAAATTGGCCTATAGGCTTCTTTAGAATTTTGTGTTGGTTTAAGTAATTTTGGAGAGAATTAGTTAATGACCAGGAGGCCCCCGAGTTTTGCTAAATCGGCCAATTTTCATGGTTCATTAACGGTTTATCTGCACAGACGATCTAATAGCTGACACCGGTTGGACCGGACAAAGACTCAATATCTTGTCAAACTCGTGTGGACAAAAACGAATTAGAAAAACAAAAAACCATGGTGAGTAGAATTTAGAACCCAATAACCATAAAAAATAAAAAGGCTTAATTACAAAATGCTCCACTGAGCTTTGGGTCCTGTCTCAATCAAGGCCCTCTGATTTAAAATTGAACTATTTCCCCCCTAATATTTCAATAATTTTCAATTAACTGTAATTAGACATAAATTTTAAAATTACTTCTATACCCTTATCCTTTACTTATCTCCATTTTCTTTCTTTTCTCTTTGCCAACGCACTAATTGAGGGAAGGGAGGATAATTTGTTTGGGGTGGGCTATGTTAGGAGGGGGGTTTAGATTTCACTGGAAGGGTTGAGAGTTGTCGGGGTTGAGGGGAGATATTTCAATTATTTTGGGTGGAGATGTGTTTTGGTTTTGGTTTCAGTTTCATTGGATGGGAAGAGAGTTAGGTTTCATCAGAGAGTTGCGTGGACAATTGATTTTTATTTTTCATATAATATTAAGGTAATGGTAGTTGTGAGTGTTTGATTAATTTAAGTCATTTTTAAGGGTGGTCATCTAATTGTAAGAGTTAATTGAAAATTATTGAAATATTAAGGGGCATATTATTCAATTTTAAATCAAAGAGACTTGATTAAAACAAGTTCCAAAGTTGAAGAGGTATTTTGTAATTAACCCAAAACAATAATATTAAAAGCTGCAGGTGCTATAGATCCATCGTTCAAGGGCTAATGTGGGCCTGAATTTTTAGGCCCTCACTTTTAGAGCTTAGAAAAAATGTATCTATTATGTTTTGAAAGTGTTAAAAATTATTCGGTATTACGTTTTAAGAGTGAGGTGGTAGCACAAATGTGTATTAAGAGAGAGAGAGAGAAGCGTGCTTTTTTTAGGGTAAAAAAATAAAAGCAATCATAATATAAAATATAAAATTACGAGAACTTTATTGAACTTAACTAAATGGGGAAAATGTTTGGGCCTAGTAAAATTAGAAATTGTCTTGGACTCTAAAAGTGAGGACTTAATAATTCAGGATCTATTTAAAACTTAAATTCATAAAATTTGAGCTTAAAATATTAATGATTATAATTTTAAAGGCCCTTTAAAATTGAGAGTCCTAGGCAGCCACCTTAGTGGCCTATTAGTAGGGAAGCCCAGCTCGCCACAATCCACAAGTACAATATTGCATTTGCGGTGACAACCTACCCTTGCCGTAAGTTTTGAAAATTGTAGTATGATTTCTTTACCAAGTTTTATTTACATAGAAGAATACGGATAATATCACAATGAGAAGTGTCAATTCCAAAAGCAACCAAGCACAAGTATAACATCAATACCATGATTACAAACGAAACTACAAAAACAAACATGAACTTTATTCCCATAAAAAGTCACAGAAACAATAAGATACAGAAACAGTTGAGGATTAAAAGCCTCAAATACATAAACAACACCCCCCCCCCCCCCCCAACCTACGATTCCCTCTGTGAAAGTGGAAGAAACAACAGTGGAAGAGGTATATACTGCACAACTAACAACTTAGCAGAGCTAAACTCACTCTGACACCTAAAATACAAATCAAATATGCAGAAATATCAAAGTCCTGATGAAAACCCTTCAATTCCCACATACCCACAATCCAATCCGAACAAAAAAACTACCGTCGGATTGACTGAAACAACAAGACTTAATCTGGATCTAAAAAGCAACACTATTTCAGAGCATCTGCTTATAAAACACAGCCTACAACAGAGAAATGAGGACCCATCATGGAAATGATGAGTCTATTCTATGGTGTTTCGGAGTGATCGAAACATCCATCAGAGCAGTAAGCGCTCGGTGGTGGGCTCGCGGAGGCGGAGCTACCACCAACACCGCCGTCTATCCCCCACCTACTCGGTGCTTCCCCTACCTTTGAGGCCACAGAAACTACTGTTCCCACCAGGCTCTCAAAAATCTGAGCTTTGATCTGGCCCCTTTTTGGAGGAGGGTTTGTGGTTTGCCTTTTGGGGGAATTGGAGGAAGTAGTTGCCATTGATCCGCCGGTGATCTTCTTTGAAGCAGAGTGTTCCTTTATCTGGTACAAATTAAAGAGGAAGCAAAGTTTCAATCAGAAAAACAGAACAAAAAACAGTGGATAACAACGGTTTATGTCAGATAATCACAAAGAAAAAGGAAAAGTAGAGCAGAAATAGTAATTTGGTGTAGCAAGAAGAAAAGCAGAAATACTTTCAAACTTACACAAGAGGAAGAAGAGGAGAGAGAGAGTGCCACAACAGAAAGAGGAGGCCAGTGACGCGGAGTTTCAAAAAGGGTAACGGTGGATGAATTTAAAAAGAGAAATGCTAACTACACTTAGAAAATAGATTTAAAAAATAGACTTAAAAAATATACTTGATAATCTCGATCATTAATTTTACTATGTGTCCTAACATTCATTAACACCCACTATATATTCAATAATTGAGATTATCAAGTCTAATTTTTAAGTCTATTTAATATTACACATTTAAAAATTAAATTTGATAATTATAATTATTGATTTTAATGTAAGTCTCAGCATTATCAAATTAAGATTATTAAGTTTAATTTCTAAATCTATGTAAAATTATTCTTTCATAAATAGAAGCGCTCCTATTCACCATAAAACCTTAAAAATTATTCCCTCTTTGATTAATTCTATGCCTAAAAGAGAGTCATATATAAGTCGTGTCATATAAGAGTCGTGTATATTTCAGTTTGTGAATTGTGTAAACAACATATAACCATATTCTTAGGATTTATGATTGGATTTTTGTCAATTCAACTGTTAAATTGATCTATAGTTCAAAAAAAAAAAATTAAATTAAACTGACAAGTCAATTTAATTATTAATCAAATTCATTAATTTTAGATTTATATCATACAACTTTAAGTTAATAACCTGTCTAGTCGTTGAATTTTCTTATGAATTTATAAATCGCAAATAAATGGGTACCATTGCCATTTTTACATCCTAGAACAAAGAGTTGGAGTGATACTTAATATTGTTGTGGATAAATACGATATTGGCCTCGTTTGGTAGCCGTATTAATAATGGATGGATTATATAAAATAATTCAATCTAATATAATACAACATGACAAAATACAAGATTAAATAGAGTATTAAAATAATATGTAATTTTATCTAATGTTTGACAATACACAACATAAACGTTGAATAGTAGTTATTCAATGCAATCGGTTATTTGGTTAGAGAATTATTTCATTGTATTAATGTTGAATTAAGAAAAATATCCTCAATCAGTGTTTGTTACATTGATGACAACTTGATTTTATCAATTGTAGGGTTATAATAGTAACTGTGTAAAATAATATGTTTGAGTTGGATTATAATACCACATCTCTTGGTGGTATTAAAATATTTTCATACTACAGGTCTATCGTATAAAAAATATACGATAAATATTCGATTAATATATGTTTTTGACATTAATACGATATCAAATTTACTTACCAAACAAATTATTAGACCCAATTAAATAAAAAATAATATAATCCAATATTTAATCCCCTCACAACACATTTACTAAATGAGCCTGATGCTGTTATTTCCTTGCAAATAGGGGCAGAGCAAAAAAATTGTGTCCGAGAAAGAACAAATAATTGAAAGAACTTTAATTTTTTTGCTTACAATCAATAGAAATATGATAATAATTTATATTTAATTACATTCTATTTAATTAAAAATAGATAATCAATCCCTACTAAATTCAAAAATTCAATGGTAGATAAAACAAAAAGTGACTTGAACTAAAATTCAATGCTAGATCAAACAAAAAAATGACTTGAACTATCTAATATCGTAGAGTTGCCTTTAATTGTTCAGATAAGGACAAATCACATCTCATTGAATAATATGATAGATCAGGCAATCACGAAGGTTACATCATCGTCGATCAATTTCTTCTCTTTCCCTATCTCTCTCTTTCTTGGTCGTTGGTTTTCATCTTATATTAACATGAGATAACATATTCATATCAGGGTTTTTTACTCTAAATAATAATTTTAATTTGTGACTTTGGTTTTGTATATACATACAAAATAATTTTTATTACACAATGACCATAGTTAAATGACTAGACAGGTACATAAAATGTGTCCAAAAATTCATAATTATTTGATATAAGTGTACTAATTATTGTCTGTGTCCAAAGACACTGAGTAATAAAAAAAGATCAACAATAAATATATTCATATTTATACCCAAATCAAATCACAATTATAGAAGAGAGAAAAAAAATTTTAAGCACAGGTTGAAGCTAGGTTGAGTGGTGGTAGTGGTGGGCGGTGGTAGTGGTGGTGGTGGTGGTGGTGGTGGTAAACGTTGCTGGATGTGGTGGGTGGCGACGACCGTGATGATGGTGACAGTCGTGGGTGGCAACGATGATGGTGGTAGTGATGGGTGTGGGTTGTGGTGGGTGACGGTGATGGTGGTTGTCAGTGGTGGTGGTGGGGCAACGATGATGGTGGTGTTGGTGAGTTGTGATGGTAGACGGTGACGATGGTGGTGGTGGACGACGATGGGTCTTTTAGGTGACAGTGTGATGGGTGGTGACAAATGTCAATGGTGGTGGTAGGTGTGGTTGGAGTGGGTTATGGTAGTGGGCGGTGGTGGGTGCTAACTGTGGGCAACGGTGATATTGAGATAATGGTAGTAATAATAATAAATATAAGAATGAGATGACGATGATAATGGATAGCGGTGGGGCGATGATTGTAGCAATTGGTGGTAGGTGGCGATGGTGGTGGTAATGGATGTAACAAAGGTGGTGGGGTGGCAATGGTGGTGGTAGGGTAGTGGCGGTGATGGTGAGACAGTGGCAGTGGTGGAGAGGGTGACAATGGTGTTGTTGGGGGGTGGTAGTAGTGGTGATGGTCGTAGAGGTGGTGGTGGGCCGGTGGCGGTGGTGGTGGTGATGATGGTGGGACAGTGGCAATGGTGGTAGGGTGTCAACAACGTGGGGCGGTGAAGATGGTGGTGGTGGTGCAGTGGCGACGACGGTGGTGGTGGTGGTTGTTGTGGTATAAATGGTGGTGGGGGTGGAGACGATGGTAGTGATAGTGGTAGTAGTGGTGATGATGATGGGGCGGTGGAGGTAGTGGTGGTGGTAATGGTGATGGTGGAGGAGTGGCGCGCGACGGCAGTAGTGGTGGTAATGGTGATGGTTGTGGGGAGGTGGGAGCAGAGGTGATAGTGGGATATTGACAGGGGTGATAGAGTGACAATAGTGGTGGTGGTGGGGTTGTGAGGGTGGTGGGGTGGCGATAGTGGTGGTGGTTGTTATGGTGGAGGTAATGATGGTGTGACGACGGTGGTAGTAGGGGGTGGTGATGGGGCGACAGTGGTGGTGGTGGTATTGGTGATGACAATGGGAATGGGGTAGTGGTGGTGGGGTGGTGAAGGTGATGGTAGTAGTGATGGTTGTAGTGGTGCGATAGGGGTGGTGGTGATAGTGACAGTCATGTGTAACGACGGTGGTAGTGATGAGTGTTGGTTATGGTGGGTGATGGTGGTTGGCAGTGGTGGTGGTGGGGCGACGATGATGGTGGTGTTGGTGGGTTATGATGGTAGGCGGTGACGATGGTGGTGATGAGCGACAACAGATGCTTCTGGGTGACAGTGTGATGGGTGGTGGCGAATGATGATGGTGGTGGTAAGTGTGGTGGGGGTGGGTTATTGTAGTGGGTGGCGATGGGTAACAATAATGGTGATGAGTGTTGATGGTGGGCAACGGTGGTAATGGATAATGATAGTAATAAATATAAGAATGAGACGACGATGGTAATGGGTGGTGATGGGCGATGATGGTAGCAATTGGTTATAGGTGGCAATGATGGTGGTGGTGTTTGTAACAAAAGTGGTGGTGGTTGTGGTGGGGGTGATGGTGAAGCAGTGGCAATGGTGGTGAGGGTGGCAACGGTGGTGCTAGGGGGGTGGTAGTCGTGGTGATGGTTGTAGAGGTGGTGGTAATAGGAATGATGGTGGGACAGTAGCGGTGGTGGTAAGGTGGCGACAACGTGGGGCGGTGAGGGTGGTGGTGCTGGTGCGGTGGCAATGACGGTGGTGATGCTGGTTGTTGTAGCAGAGATGGTGATGGAGTGATGATAGTGGTGGTGGGGCGGTGGTGGTTATGGTGGTGAGGGTGGTGGTAATGGTGATGGTGGTGGAGTGGCGGCGACGACAATGGTGGTGGTTGTTATGGTGATGGTGGTGATGGGGTCACGACGGTGGCGGTAGAGGTGGTAATGGTGGTGGTATTGGTGATGACAGTGGGAGTGAAGCGATGATGGTGATAGTGGTGGTGGGGCGGTGAAGGTGGTGGTAGTGGTGATGGTGGTTATGGTGCGATGGGGAGTTGGTGGTGGTGGTGGGGTGACGGTGGTGATAGTGGTGAAGAAGGTTAGGCGATGGGGGTGGGGGTGAGGGTGCGGTTCTAAACATTATTTTAAAAAAAAATACTTATGAGAAATTATAAGTATTAGAAAGATTTTTAAAAAGGCACTCTAAATACACCTTTATGGGCTTTTTATCTATTAAATTTTAGGTGTTAGTATTTACCGTCAGATTAACTTTAAAGTAAAATTTAAAGAGATCTCAACTGGAAAGAGTAAAAGTTATTTTTGTTTATCTTTTGATATTTGAATTGTATTGTAGTTTATTATATAGATACTAATTTATATGACACAAAAAACTAGGGTGGACATAATTTAAATATTGAGAAAATACCTAATATATATATATGTATAGATAATTTTAAGAAATTTTTTTTGAGGGTAGACATGTGCTGCCTCTGCCATTGGCACCCCCCCCCCCCCCCCAAAAAAAAAAAAAAAAGCTGTGGCAATAGAAGGGAAAAAAATATTAAGAAAAAAAGAATTTCAACGATTTTAATGAAGGTGAGTTGAATTGATAATTCCAAGATATATCATTGATTTTGCATTTAAGATGATAATTATACTTACTTGAGAGAGTTTATTGTTGACTCCAAACAATTTATCTCCATAATGCAATAAAGTCACAAAAATCAACAGTTTTTTTAATGGTTTTCCTCATAGCTAGTGGGGACAAAAAAGAAAAGTTTAAATTACACAGACACCCCTTGACTTTTGACAAATGACACTCGAACCCCAACGACGTTAGAAATGAAACGATGCTAACAGAAAATGCTAAAAGACAATCTTACCCTATTTTTGTTATCACAAAAAAAAAATTGATAATTCAGTTCAAAATCAAAATGAGTATAATAGCCTTGTAAAATATCTTCGAATTGAACCAAAACACCATTTGTCACATCTACAAAGAAGGCAAGAGAGAACCCAAATCGTCTTTGACAGATTTATCCGTCGATTCAACCCCAAATCATGCATACTTCACTCCAAATTCAAATAAATCCAACCCTAAACCACTATCAACATGCTTGAATCAGAGAAACCCTAACCCTAATCTCCCATCGTTTTTACCTGTTTCAAAAAACTCAAATTTGTAAGCCACTTAAATGATGTTTGGATGTAGATCAAATAAACTTTTAACCTAACCTAGAAAGGGCGAAGTCTAGATTTGGCTCTTCATTTTCTACGAAGCATCTCATTTAAGGCATCTTGGCACTTCATCTTCAACGAAGCATCTCGTTTAAGGCATCCTTTTCTGACTCTTCAATCCATCACAAGTTTGGCACATATTTAGATTTGTCTGTGTAATTTACCAATTTAGATTTGATCTTGAGCCTCATTTTTCATTATGTTGTCATTTTTTGGCACATCTCTTTTTTATGTTTTAGTCACCCAGTAAGAGACATTGTTGTCCATCACTCATTCCTCTTCTATTTTCATTTTTTGGCCATTTAAAGGTTTTGCAGAAATGGACGAGCAGGAGCATGACATTGTTGTTCATTTTAACAACTCTATTTTCACCATTAATAGGGTCGACCCTGATAGGTATTGTTGTATGGATATGGTAACAGATGTTGCAGAAGTTACCAATATTTTTATGGGTGATAGTTTATCGAAGGTAATGATTGCTATTACAGTTGATTGGCTAGATGCTAGTGGAAAACTAGTACTAAATGACGATGAACAGTTACATGAAATGTTTTATTTGTATAGAAATTGTAAAGAGATACCTGTATTTGTGAATATTGAAGTTGGGTCTCATGTGAGACTCCCACCTCCTCCAAATGTACGAATAGGTGAAAAGCTTAAAGTTGATGACAATGAACCTAATGTTGAAAATGATGACGTAGATGCAAATAGGCATGAAGTTGATTATGTAAATGGGGATGAACATACGGGTGTTGGTGGTGAAATGATGACAAGGATGCAAATAGGCATGAAGTTGATGATGTGAATGATGACAATGTTTTATGGTTTCAGTTCTGAGGATGATGACTGGATAGTTGATAGTGATGATGCCCTCAATGTTAGTTATGAGAATAATGATGATATCATCAACACACAATTAGATGAAAACAATGACGATGGATTTTTAGATTATCAATCAGGGGATGAAGGATATGTTAGTAGTACAGATTCGAAGGAACTTGAGGCTGAAGTGGATAAAACACATAGAAGGAGTAGGAAAAGAAAGTGCAATGTCAGTGATACTTCAAGATTTGGAGTGGGGTTTAATGTTCCTAATGATGGAAACACTGATTGGGACTTTTGTGTGGGGATGTTGTTTGGAAATGTTGACTTGTTCAGAAACGCATTAAAGGATTATATAATAAAGACAGGGATAAAAGTAATAAGGAAGAAAAATGAGAGGACTAAGGTTACCGTTGAGTGCGCTGCAGAGGGCTGCCAGTGGAGGATTCATGCATCTCCTTTACCAGATCAACCTACTTTTAAAGTAAAGACTTATAGTAAAAATCACAATTGTGTCAGGTATAGGAAGTTGCCTGAAGCAAACTCTACTTGGATTGTTAAAAAGTTTAGAAGATAGATAAAAAACAACTCAACAATGACCTTAGAAACTTTACAGTATGAGTTGCAGGATAAGTGGGAGATTGAGGCCAACCCTTGTCAGTTATATAGGGCTAAAAAGAGGGCTATAGAAGAAATAGAGTGTCATCATAAAAAATCTTTTGGATTACTACCAGAATATGTTAAAAAAGTAAGGAGGAGTAACCTTAGGAGTGTTATTAAACTTGATTATTTCAAGAAATCTGTGAGTGATAACCCATTGTTCAAGATAATCTTCATTTCTTTTGCTGCATTTAAAAAATGGTTTTAGGGCAGGTGACAAACCTTTTATTGGGGTTAATGGTTGTCACCTCAAAGGTGAATTTGGTGGAGTTCTGGTGGTTGCAGTGGCTCTTGATGGGAATAAATGTTTGTTTCCAGGGGCGTATGGAGTGATTGAAAGTGAAAGGACAAAAAGTTGGGGATGGTTTCTTCAAAATATACATGGTGTCATTGGAGCAGTTGATAGGACCAAATCTTGGACCTTTATCTCAGACAACCTGAAGTTATGCTTCTAATTTGTAATTTCTTAGCCATCTAGTTTCATTTTAATGTCTTTTCTGATTTGTCATTATTGTTTCTTGTTTTGGTTGGAGTGACACTCTAGGGATTAGATAAAGTGTTTGAGAAAATGTTTCCTAGAAGTTAACATAGAAGATGTTGTAAGCATCTCTATAACAACTTTAAGCCTAAATTCCCAAGGTTACTACTTAGGATTTATTTCTGGAAGGCAAGTAGGGCTTATATTGAGATGGAGTTTAGGGAAACCATGGATAAAATGAAAGATTTGAATTGTGAGGCATATGATTGGCTAATGAATATTCATGTACACACATAGGCTAGGCACACATTTGACCATACTATTAGGAGAGAACACATAACCAATAATTTGTGTAAGTCATTTAACAACTGGGTTGGTTTACAAATATAGAAACCAGTTTTGACACTGTTAGAGGGAATAAGGTGCAAGTTAATGGTGAGGTTGCACAAAAGAAAAATGAAGGGGAGTTTTTGGGAAGGTCTAGTTACAAAGAATATTAGACAAAAACTAGACGAGGTGGTAAAGAAAAGCATGCAGTGTAATGTGCTTTGGGCTGGAAACGTGGAGTTTGATATTCGTCACAAAGAGACAATATACCCTGTCAATTTAACCACCAAGGAATATGCTTGCGTAGAATGACAGATTACTGGGGTCCCTTCTGTTCATGCAGTAGCAACAATAAGTTCTCAATGGGAAAATATTGAGATGTTTTGTGATGCTTATTTCACAAAAGAAAAATATATGTTGGTTCATCGGGATATCATACATCCAATTACTAACCATAAAATGTGGGCTCCAACTAGAGAAACTCTCCATCCACAACCTCTACGCATGTTACTTGGAAGGCCTCGAAACAATCGAAGAAGAGTTACAGATGAACCAGCAGCTGGCACAAGTGAAATGAGAAAGAGGCAGACAATTAAGTGCCAGATTTGCAAGCAACTAGGTCACAATAGATGAACTTGCCAAAGAGCACCTGTCAAAAGAAAAGGTGCAACTCAGGTAATTTTTTATTATGTCCATAACAAATGAAAATATTAGTCCAACATTTTTTTTATGTTTATGTATTTATGTATGAAGCAAACTGTACCAACACCACAATCACAACAATGCTCTCAAGCTGATGAATCTGGAATTTCTATATCATAAGAAGGAATTGATAATCCTATTAGGGGAATTAGGGCAGACACTCAGGCCAGTGAAGGGGCAGACACTCAGGCTAGTGTAAGGGCAAATGTGAATGGAAGCTGACTTCTTCTGGAATGTGAATGGTGCCTTTTTTTGTATGACATTTTGGATATTGACTTGTGAATGGTGCACATAGCTAGCATAGGAATGTGAATGATGCCTTTTTTGTATGACATTTTAGATATTGACTTGTGAATGGTGCACATAACTAGCATAGGAATGTACATGGTGCATATGGCTTTTTTGACTTATTAGTCCTATTTGTGTTTTTTTGAGATTCTGATGGCAGTTTTTTATTAGTGTACTATGTACACAGACAACTATTGTATTGATGCTATTACAATGTATTAAAGCCACTACATAGTTAGCTTAATTTCAAAAGCCAGTACATATATCATAATCTTAATTTTAGCTCATTGCATATTTAGCACAACTCCAAAAGCATACTTAGGACATACACACCACCTATATAATAGGTAAAACACAACCTAACATTACAGATAAGACTACATCACTGGAATTTCTAGTTCTTGCTCATATACATGACTATACCAAATAGTTGCATTACAAAAACAACTAACACCGCAACAATGAGGGCCTTCAAAAGTGCATGCGTGTCCTGGGTGTTATGACCACTATCTGAGCTGAAAATTCGTCGTAGTCCATACACATGCTTAACACATGGAGACATTTGGATAACACCAAGCAAAGAACCTGCACTCCCCTTTCTCACAATTGAAATACAATCTCTTTTTTGCTGGCTTCTCAGTTTCCACTATCCTTATTGCTGCCTTTTTCCCGCAATTACATTGTGTTCCAACGAACCTTAAATCCAACATCTCATGTCCTCCAAATCCTTCTCTGTTCCCACCTCCAAATCTATTGCTGGAAGAAGATGACATGTTTTGTGCCTACAACAAAATACAAGTCATATTATACTTATGATAGACACACCCCTTACCTTTTTACATAACAACAGAAACACCCCTTCTAATAATAATAACGATAACAGTAAGACCCCATCCACATCTAACACAGACAATACAAAAATATATTGTTGTTATACGTGTATATGTTTATCCATTTATAACTGTATACCAAAAAAAAATATATGGACATAGATATAGAGGTAAAGAGATATGGAGGAAGACAAAAAAATAAGAGAACTCTTACTTGCCGAATGAGAAGTGATTCAACATTAATATTGTAAACTCAAGCGCGGGTTAAGCGAAATAATATAATTCTCGGAAGACCAAGGTCGAACCCTCAAAGAATTGTAACAAGAAAGCAATCACACAAATACTAAAACAAACTTAAAAATAAATTATTTGTTTAGAGAATTGTTGAACAAAAAAAGGTGATTTAAATAATTAAAACAGTAATAAAAATACTAGAACATCAAGTACTCCCTCTCAATTCCATAAAATAATGATTAAAGACTCAAATCTTAACTTGAGACAAGAATCAGATATCGGTTGATTCAAGTAACAAATCAAGTAAGAAATCCTTAAGTTATAATCAAACGATTAATCAGGAACCTGAATAATCAACCAATTATATTATTTTATGAAATAATGATAATTACCTCAAACGTGGAATAATTAGTTATTTACTCGTAGAGAAATTCAAGCAATCGATGTACATGACACAACGACTCAAGAATTTTTACAAAGCAAAAACTTAGCTATAAGATCAGAAGTTAAATTAACAAAAAATCATAAATCATTAAACTCAGAATCAATAACATTACCGTATTTCATTGAGAGGTTTTCCCTTAACCCTAACTTAGCCTTCTAGCCAGACATGATGAACTAAAATAAAAATAAAAATATGAGAAAAAGAATAATAGTAATCTCTAAATGAAAACCCCTATTTATATTAAAAATAAATCCTAAGTACAGTTTGAAAGGAATCCTTTTCCAAAAGAGAAGTCTTATAAGGTTAAATCTCGTGTATAAAATTTTTGGGACGTGAGTACAAAATCTGTTTAAACTTCGAGCTTGAATTTCGCATATTTAGAGGCTGAATTACGAAAATTTCGTAAAATACACTTTTGTAGCCCTTGAAGTCTTCTTTTCAACCCCCAAAAATCAAATAAATCGGATATCAGAGTCAAAAGTTATGACCAAAATACTAAAGGCATGTTAAATCTTTATCTTCTAAGATACTTTCCTAATCCAACACTAAATAAGTTTTCTTTTAACTTGGACTCTTATAAGGATTAAATTGTTGTCATATCTTCAAGTCTTCCTATTTTAATCTTGACTTTTCAATCTTTATCAGTTATGATTCTTCCTCTAGTGATTGATTCATTTGTCTTATCCATTATTACTTTAAATCAACCAATTTACCTGCAAAATAAACCAAACAACTAGAAAAAAGATCAAACTAGAAAATCATGGAATTTAACATATTTAATCACAAATAATATACAATTAATCAATCATTAAATATAATAAAATAACAATTTTGATGTTTAATCAAGAATCTTTAAGAGAGGAAGATGGGTTTTTAAATGAAAAGGAAAGGATAAAATAGACATTTCAATAATCACTTTAAAGTACAATGGTTTTGTAGACTTTGACTTTCACTAGATAGGGGCATTATTGGAATTATAATAGATTTTTTTCTCTAATGTCATTATATTCCGTAAGTATGTCTAACGTCTGTCAAGTATAGGGGGCCTAGATGTAACAAATTTCAAATGTGCAGGGGTTCGAGTGCCATTTGTCAAAAGTCAAGGGGTGTTTGTGTAATAAACTAAAAAGTGAAGGAATGTCCGTTTAATTTACCCAAAAAAAAAAGTTACCCCGGCAAAATCTTTACAAAACTGTGCATTAATACAACTGGTATGAAAGGACTAGTGGAGGAGAGAAAGAGTTCGAAGTTTTTGGATCCCAACCCCGGAGCCCTTATTTGTAGACAAATCTAGGGACACAAGTCTTGAGTTAATGATAACTTTTTTACAATAAATCTATGAGGAGTTGGTTTTTTTGGGTGTAAAATAAAGATTTGAAAAATAAAATGAAAAATTCAAGGGAAAATTTCAATTATACTTATTTTAGTTTGTCATATCTTCAAAGATATCTCTCTATTATCAAAAGTATTATTGACACTTATTCTAGTTTTTATTTAAACATTACTGACATTCTCTGCCATTAAAATACTATTTATAATAAAAATAAATTATTTAAAATATCAAATTTATCCCTACATAAACTCCAAACAATCTTTTTACATAAAATTTGATTAAAAGTCAAATCGATTAAAATTTATTTTTCTACATATTAAAATTTGAGTTGACTAAAATTCTATTTTCTATATATTAGAATTTGAGTTGATTAAAATTCATTCGAGTTGATTAAATTTTATTTTTTTACGTATTAAAATTTGAGCATATTAAAAGCATTTTACGTACTAAAATTAGAGTCAATTTGAGCTTTATTTGACCTGTTAGCTTTGATTGCAATTCGTTTCGAATTGATTAAAATTTATATTTTTTTATTTATTTAAATTCGATTTAATTTGATTAAAAAAAAATTTTACGTATTAAATTTTGAGTTAATTAAAATTTATATTTTAATACGTAAAAAATATAATTTTTAATCGACGTAAATTTTAATATATAAAAAATAAATTTTAATTAAATCAAATCAAATTTTAATCGACTTAAATTTTAATACATACAAAATTTTAAAAAATAGAGGGAGTTTCATTGAAGATATACATATCTAGAGGAGGTGTGGATGAAGTTTTTCCTAAAATATATCATAGGCAATTTAGTAAAATTGTATTTTAATTATCACCTTTAATCTGGCAGGGGGTGTCATTGAAGATTCAGAAAATAGGAGGAGTGTTCTTGAAGATATGGTAAATTAAAAGGGGTGTGGCTGAATTTTTCCCAAAATTTAATTAATAAAGTTCTTAGAATTTTTCGGAGTGTTTCTGAAAAAATTGACTTTTTTCTTGAAAGTCTTTAGAAAAGTTTTTTTTTCCCTTGGTGCTAATAAAAGTTATTTTTTGTCCACAATATTAATGAAAAAACCATTCAATAAAATCGAGTCCAGACGGACCAGACTTTTTTTTGTCTGAATCCTTCAAAAGCTTAAGTTTTAGGCCACCTCCAAATATGCCCAATATCTTATTTAGTATTATTAATGGGTTGTGTGTCCTATCGTGTTTTTAATTCATGTCTTGTTAAAATTTATTCAGCATAATATATATATATATATATATATATATATATATATATAACTTTTGTAAGATAGTAACTGCACATATTTTTGTTTTGCTTACAACTATAGTTATGCTTTTGTGTAAATAAAAGTTCCTACTAATACAGATTGAGGCAAATTATACACTTTAATATTATTTAGAGTATTGATAGACCTTTGGTTTAATGGTACTCATTATCTTGTGAAGGTCTTACCTTATTGAGGTCGAGGGTTTAAGTCATCTTCCCCTCTCCCTTCCCCTAAAAAAAATTCTATTTAGAGCATCTCCAACTCTGATTTAAATTTAAATTAAAAAAAAAATGGTCAAAAAATTTACTCAAACCTTTGACTTAAATCTATAATAAATCAAAATAAACTTATTTTTTTACTTAAATAAAGGGAAACTCATATCCTTACTCAAATTGTTACGGTAAGATTCCACTCTCTTTTAAAGATTCAACGATCATCTTTATTCTTTTTTAAATTTGAATTTATTCTCATTTAAATTTGAGTTTCTACTTCCTTAAATTTGAATTTATTCATCAGAGCCCTTTGTATCAAATCAAGATTTTTACTTAAATATTAATTTAAATTTGAGTCATAATTAAAAATACTCTTATAGTAAAACAAAAGGTGAATTAAACCCAGAACCGGATCTAGCACTGGGAAGAACAGAATCACATCCTACTGTCATTCTTATATTAACCTACGATACGGTCTGAACCACTAGATTGATAACGAATCCAGTCCCACCACATCGAAGCCAATGGGTGGGTCCTTTAGTCTGGTGTGTAGGACCCTAGGTGTTCTTTTTGCCCACATTCATCGCAGCCCATGAAATTGGCCAAC